ATTAGGCCTCTAAAAAGTTTAGTCACCAAATTCGTCCCTCAAGATTCTTTTTGTCACCACTTTACTTCATTATAAGGACAAATATAGTGACATCTAATACCTTTTAGGGACTAATTTGGTGAAAAATTAAATCTGAGGGACTCATTTGGTGAAAAAATCTTTTGAGGAATAATATGGTGACAATTAAATCTTTGAGGGACTAATTTGGTGACTAACAAGGTGATTCTGTAACTTTGGGGGGACCACCTTGAGGGTTTTCTCTTGTTTTTTAGGTCACTTCTTGTAGGAGCCATGTCTTCTGTTAGCTATAATAATGTCTAGTGCATTCCAACTTTCCAGGTTTATTCTTTTGGAATAAAGAGCACAACATTATAATAGTGGAATAAAGAACATTATAATCATTTGTTTTTTCAGAGACATGTTTTAGGGAGAGATCTTCTATTATTAATGACATGTTATTGAACTATTGGTGACTTAAGCTCAATACCATGATCTTAGGAATACACCTTTCTTCTTTTACCTTCACAGTGGCATATCTCAGGGCCATAGAATTTGGTGATAAGTGATAATCTTATCACCTTGAACTATAAATAATTTACACTATTCAATTAGATGGATTAAAAGCTAATTAGTTGTTCATTTTCTGATTATCTATTCTTCCCTCAACTTTCTTGGCTCTAAATCCATGGTCTTAGTCTTTGTGATTTTCTTGGATTGCCTTGGTGATTTTATTTCATTCTTAACTCTTTGGATTGCCTCTCTCTCTCTCTCTCTCTCTATATATATATATATATATATATATATATATATATTGATAGAATGTTTAATAAAATGGAGTGTTAAATATCACTGTACTCTCTGTAATTACTTGTTATTACCAGATTAATAATTGCCTTAATTTGCATTACACACTACATGACACATCAATGTCTATCTCTTTATATTATTATGTACTATGTTAATCTCAATTCGCACACAACCCATGCAATTGACAGTTTGTTGGAGAGTTAGCTAGGGTAGCAGCACCGGGTGGGACGATAATAATAGTAACATGGTGTCACCGGAATCTTGACCCTGAAGAAGAATCTCTAAAACCTTGGGAGCAAGATCTGTTGAAGAGGATATGCGATGCATATTACCTACCAGCTTGGTGCTCTATTGCTGATTATGTCAGATTGCTCCAATCCCAGTCACTTCAGGTACTCATCAATGCCTAATTATTAATTAAAGCGCTGTCTCATCATGAATATGTAGAGACACAGTTCAAGTTGTGTTTGTTGCTTGTACTTTATCATGCATGCTTGCTATATATAGGACATCAAATCAGAAGATTGGTCTCGATTTGTTGCTCCATTTTGGCCAGCAGTGATACGCTCAGCATTGACATGGAAGGGTCTCACTTCACTCTTAAGCAGTGGTAAGCTCCACATTTATATTAAATTTAAAAAACAAACTCCTGTCTCCCATCGCCAGTCTTATGTCCCTGATAATTTTTTTCCATACTCATAACCTTTACGGCTAAGAACATAGTAGTCTGCATGTTCTGTGAAATAGATTAAAATTAATAACACAATCAGATTGTTGAGACTTTTGAGTGAAAATAGATGCAAAAAATACAGAACTGTTGGCCTCAAAAGTTTTTGTGCATATTTCGTTATAACTATTTCATACAGCATATTCCCAGCTCCAATCCAAACACACAGGAGATTATATACAGTGTACCAACATTCCAACAATCCCTTTTTATGATCACAATTTCTATCTGTTGTTATGGCAGATAGTGTGGTTTCCTTTATTTTAGATCACTTGTCCCAACTGGTGGCACATGAAGCAAGGTTGCTGAGTGGCGTGGAGGACAAGGTGAAGTCCCTCGAGAAGGAGCTTCAGATGATCAACGTCTTCCTAAGAATCACCATAAAAGTGTTATGAGCGAGTGAAGTTAAAGAGCACCCTTAGAAACATGCTCACTCAGTTATATGGATGTTCTAAGTAAATGTATTGAATCTAAAAGCCCATTATAATTGTTATAAAATAAGGTCTCTAGGATGTCTTTATATCCCATTCCAATCATCAATATTCTTCTTAGCATAATTATAGAGTGATTAGAGATAATTTCTATAAGACTACTATTGTAATCACGAATCATTCAAGGGTCCCTTTATTGTTGTGTAATCCTTAATTACGAGGAATTAAGCTTTATTGTTAGAAATTGAGGTAACCACTTGAATTATGTAAACTTATCTATGTTTTTTCCTTTAATGAAATATTTATTTAGTTAATTTTTTTACTTTTGTACTTAATATTTGTTATGTCCTGATCAACATCTTCATGATTTTATAATTTTTAATCAAAGTTGAGAAATTCTTTCGAAATTACCACCTAAATAAAGCAATGATAACATTTATTACCAAAGAATTGAGATAAATTTTATCAATCAACTTATGGTCCTTAATCTTATTTTTTAACAAAAGTTATTAAAGAATAAAGATTTTCTTTAAACAACCTAGAACACTTAAATAATTACTACATTGAATAAAAATACTAAGAAATTATATATAAAAAAATTAATAAATCAATATTTGACTATTCTTCTTATAAATTCAAATTCATCATAATTTATTACTTTATTTTATTTTCATTGTTAAAAAAATTCAAATTCTTATTAAATTATTTGTTCAATACTAACATTATATTATACAATTATATACATTACATCTCTTACACTCTCCCTTGCATGAACAATACATATACCATATCATCAGTGGTTTTAACAGTCTAATAAAACTAGAAAAGGAAAAGGAGAATACCAAAAAAAAAAAAACCAGAAATGTCTACCCTGGAAGTCTTTGTAATGTTACATAAGGACGAGAATGAAAATGAGACTGTATGCAATTGTAAACAAACTTCATTTTAGAGGTAGGGCAATGGTTTGAAATATGACACTTGTGGTTGCGGAAATCTCCTTCCTTTTGCACATCAAGGAATTGACACTTGTCGTCGGGAATTTGCTAGGAAACCAGAATATTGTTTGTCAAGTGCCAAAGAAACAAAACACCGTTATGAATGTTCTAAGGTAAATCAGTGGAAGGTGCAAGTGAACTTCATGGTTGACAGAGTCAGATGCAAAAAATACAGAACTGTTGGCCTCAAAAGTTTTTGTGCATATTTCGTTATAACTATTTCATACAGCATATTCCCAGCTCCAATCCAAACACACAGGAGATTATATACAGTGTACCAACATTCCAACAATCCCTTTTTATGATCACAATTTCTATCTGTTGTTATGGCAGACAGTGTGGTTTCCTTTATTTTAGATCACTTGTCCCAACTGGTGGCACATGAAGCAAGGTTGCTGAGTGGCGTGGAGGACAAGGTGAAGTCCCTCGAGAAGGAGCTTCAGATGATCAACGTCTTCCTAAGAATCACCATAAAAGTGTTATGAGCGAGTGAAGTTAAAGAGCACCCTTAGAAACATGCTCACTCAATATATATATTATTTATTTTTTGAAACTTTCGGTTTTTAAAATTTTTAAAAAATGATGTAATTGATAAAAGATTATTTTGTTAGTGATTTTTAAATATGGTAATATTCCATTAAGCTCAACGATTGATTGAAGAAATCAGGTAATGTAATTTTTTTATTAATGAAGAGGGAATAAATAAGAAAGTATGTAATTTAGTAAAGGAAGAAGAATGTTGCTTTGTTACTATTTTGGACTGGACTAGAAACTTCTTGTTGATTTGTGTTTTGTTACTTTTCTGGCCAGGACAAAAAACGATTAAAGGAGCTTTGGCTATGCCATTGATGATTGAAGGATACAAGAAGGATCTAATTAAATTTGCGATCATTACATGTCGAAAACCTGAATAAGTGGAGGCAGGATTATTTTTATAGAAAGAAACAGGTTTTCAACAGGCCTTTAATTTCGATAATTAGTAAACAAGAGAAAAAAGAAATGAAAAGTTTGGGAATTAGTATTACTAATACTTGTTCAAATTTTCATTTTCTACATATGTATACATAGAATCAAATTAAACAATGATAAAATCCTATTAAAAATAATAAATCACAACAATAATACCTAACATGTTTTATTTTATTTTACAGTTAGAGGTAAATATTGATAATATTATGTTAAAAAATGTTTTTCTCTCCTACGTGATTACTGCCTTACCTACCCATCAAAATGTTGTCTACACTCCAAACTGAATTAACCGTTAATACTTAATATTTATTTATCTCATTCTCATGAAAAAACAATATCACTAAATTCATATACTCAGACATATATTCGGTAGTAAGAATTTTATTTTTTTTGAGGTTGAGATAAATAAATATTAATCATAGATCTTATCATAAACAGTTAAGGTTAAATCATAAATCATGTTAATTTTTTATAATCTTAGCTGACTTTTATTTTTAAATAATCACTTGACTAAAAAAAAAAATCTTTATGTATACATGATTGTACTACTTATATTTATTCTTTGTACTTGCATAGAAAAAATAATATTATATAATTATATATTTATTCTTTGTACTTGCATAGAAAAAAATCTTTATGTATACATGATTGTACTACTTATATTTATTATTAAATTATTAAAATTTGATATAAAACATGAATTATTAAAAGAGTAAACTTACTGGTAGATCAATAAATAGATCTTACACACACGCAGGCACACACACTTGTTAAGTGTATGTAACGACCCAGCTGGTCACTACACGCTACTCAGTACACCTGAAAATCGGACAAAAAGGAACAAGTGTATACATATAGTGTCTAGAATATACATATATACATGTTCAAGTCTGACTTGATTCAAAATGTACAAAAAAATACATCCAAACTACTACACCAAGTAGCTGAAACAACAAAACATCAACAAGGATCAGCTCCGCCTGCCAGCTGCAGACTCACCACTAGCCACCAACCTATCCCTGCTCTGCTCTCATACATAGTATGATCATCGCAATCCAAATCACATGGAAACAACAAAGGGTACGCTAGTGAAAAGAAACAACGTACATATATAAATATATGAATGGTAAACAGATTCAACTATCAGCTTAATATATATATATATATATATATATATATATATTGTCGTCACGCATATAAGTTAGTATTGGTCGCTTGTAATCGGTATAGCTCGACCTGGCCCCTATACCGTGGTCGCTTTGTACACGTATGCCTCGACCTTGCCCACACACGGGACCACTAAGACTTAGAGGAGAACAGCAAGTTACCACTCCAAGGGTCAACTTTCCAGGGAGGGTTTTCAACAAATTGGGCTCTAAGAGCACCACAGCCACTCAATCCACACAATGGGATGAGGAAGTTTCGAATACATTTCCTCTAGCCTTAGTGATCAACAGCTCAGCCTTACGGCCTACAACAGCTCAGCCTTACGGCCTACAGCAACTCAGCCTTACGGCCTACAACAACTCAGCCTTTCGGCCTACAACAACTCAACCCTTATGGCCTACAACAACTCAGCCATTATGGCCTACAACAATTCATATCAACATTCAACACAACACAACTTTTACAACTCAACATATCAACTTGCAAAACAACACAACTTTACAACTCAACATCAACTTGCAACACAACACAACTTTTACAACTCAACATCAATCAACCAACATCATATACTAGTCATCACATTTTATTTATCCATCATTTTCAACTCAGCTCATCATAAACAACATTAACCAGCATATAGTAAAATCTCTTCTCCGCGCCCGACGCACTCGTGGTTGCGCCCAGCGCGGTACAACCATAGAGCACTAGGGGGCCAGCGCGCCCAGCGCAAGCATGCTCGCGCCCGGCGGGACTCAGCTAGAGAGCCCAAGGCTCACACGCGCCTGGCGCAATACTAATTGCGCTCAGCGCAAACCAGGCAGAGACTCCAAGGAGTCTCACACGCCCGGCGTGTCCCAACTCGCGCCCAGCGCAGGTAAGGCAGAGACCTCCCTTGGTCTCGCGCCCAGCGCAAACCAAATGGCACTCATCGCCCGGGGGGCAGAGACTCCCAGGGAGTCTCACGCCCAGCGCGACAAGGGTCGCGCTCAGCGCAGCACATCAATATAAGCATCCAGCACAGCTAGGTAGTATTCAACATAGCTACTACTCACAACTCAGCTCAACAACATTCATCATTAACAGCTTAAAACAACATGATCAACAATTTCACAACGTACATCATGTTCAACACATAATAAGACCCAACCGTCTTGTTTACAACTCATCTATTTTGTCAAATTACCCACTCAAACAACACCAATCAACCTAAGCACCTAAAACAACTTTCAACTTAACCAAATCACTAAATGTGACCTGACAACCTTCACAGAAAACAGCGCATCAGGAGTTATGCTACTCCTACCGTGCTCATCCTTATCTCATATGAAAGATAAGAAGAATTCCTACAACTCCCCTGAAGACACCAAGTCCTAATTCCTTCATCTACCTTGTTAAAAATTCTAAAAACTGCAACAGCTATAATTAATGCTGGCAGCTTGACCCCTCTTCACTAAAACAGTCATATCTGGAGTTCTAAAACTCCTTTTTGGGTGATTTCAGCGTCATTGGAAAGCTAACATCCAAGGCTACAACTTTCATGAAGACTATATAGTCAAATTCTGAAAATCAAACTCACGCCCGGCGCATTAATATCTAGCCCGGCGCAATTCTCAACCAGAGACCTACAAAGGTCTATTGCGCCCAACGCGAAGAACTGAGCCCGGCGCAAATTCAAACAATAACTCTCCCCGGTTCGAAAATTCCACCAAAACCTGCAAAAATCAACATCCCAGGCACATGCAATCGGTCCAAAACATCACATTTTCATCATACAACCCGAAAATACCAGCTTTTTCAACATGCATCCATCAATCATCAAAAACCCCAAATTTTTCATCAAACCCCGAAAAGCCCGAAAACTCATTTTCATCACATACAGCCATCAATCTTCAAGGAATCAACCACACCCTGAGTTTAAGAACTCATTTCCAACAAAATCTACTAAGAAAACTAGCTTCCCTTACCTCGGGCAAGGATTCCGAGCTTCCTGGAAGTTAAACAAAGTATAAAATAAAATTAAATTTATACAAACTCAAATAAAATCAAATTCAGTCAATCATTATATGAGAATTGACCCCAACTCAACTTATTCAACACACGTGTGAACATCTGATTTATTGATGACAAAAAAAAAATCCAAACCCTTTCAAACAAACTGGCTTCCTAATAAACAAAAACAATACCACGTGAATTAAATGCCTCCCAAATTTCATCCATAGATAATATTACAGTAGAATCATGACGTTCCTTCGGTTCAACTATAAGTTCAACCCCATCCTTCATTTCCAAGTTTTGTAGCATGTGAGCCATTGCTTCCGAGGGTTGCTTTACTTGCACTTTTCTCAAGGCAATCAAAGACCACAGTTCATTTGGAATGCCATCTAACATTTCACATTTGTGGATGATCAGACTTTGGAGGCATAACATTGCACTGTTGCCTAATTTCCAGTTTCTAACTTTCAAACCACTCATCTCAAACACCTGCAGTTGTGGGAACCTTCCTGCAACACAATTGAGGTCAAAGGATTCTGACAAAATTCCTCCAGTTAGTCTCAATTTTTGGAGTTTCGTGTGATTTCCCAAAGAATCCATTCCCTCATCAGTCACACAACTAATACCTGTCAATGTTAACTTTATAACATTTGGAGGAAACGTGACCCTACATGTTAGAAGGTCCAAGGCATTGACAATTTTCAGCGTAGTTACATGACTCAACTGCCCTATGCATTGTAATACTTCTTGCGGCTTACAACCAATGTGCCACTCCATGCTTTTCATATAGTTTCCGGACAGTGAACCTTCACAAAAATTGATTTCAAAGGAAATCCTTAACTTACTCAAATGACTTAATTGTTGTAGGCTCTGCAACAACTTAGGCCATTTAGCCTTGCGACCCGAAGATATTTGCAGACTTAAATTCTTAAGGTTGGGGAAAGTTCCTTTATATATCAAATATGATGTTTGTTCGTCCAACACAATGGCGTTCATGGTTTGAAGATTCCACATAACCTCACTTGGTTTTGAATAGTGGCCTCTAAGCTTGATAGGCCCTGGCGCATACAAATGCCTTAAATGTTTGAGCTTCCATATTTGAGCAGGGAAAGAAATTGGAATAGTCAAACGCCAACAACCTAGGTCTACGGTTTGTAAATTCTGAAGGGTAAGTATAGAAGCTGGAATAATTCTAACATGTTGCGAGTCAATTCTCAAATACCTTAAGTGGATAAAGTCCCCCAAATTAGATGGAATCTTTCCTCCACAACTGTCTGTTCCAAGCTCTAACACTCGAACCAATTTGAAGCCTTTGAAAAGTCTTTTCAACTCGCTTGGAATAAAAAAATAACGTGGCCCAAACATGAACAAAGAACGGATACATGACTGGTCATTGTTGTTTGAAGAAATGTAGTCACCCATATTACAATGAATGGACAGTCTGCGGGGTTTTGTGGAGATTAGAATGTTATTACCTGTGCAAACTTGGAAAACCTTGTCTTCTTTGCTCTCTGATATGCAAAGATCTCGAAGAAGATCATGGATGTGACAAGTCTTCACGCCTCCACTAGTCTTCATTGCTGCTACTTGGACCAAACTACGATCAATGAGCTCGTACAAGTAGTCTTCAGCAACATCATCTGGGTCTCTATTCCCTGTTTCTTGTATAAATCCTTCGGCAACCCATCGTTGCAATAATGGCCTAACTGGGATTTCAAAGTCTTCGGGGAATATCCCAAGAAACAGAAAGCACGGTTTCAATCTCCTTGGCAGGTTGTCATAGCTGAGTTTGAGAACTATATCCTTCACTTGGGTCTCATCTTGAGTAAGATACCAGTTGACATGACCCACCACTTTAGACCATTCTCTATATGATTTTTCCTTGTTGGCTAGCAACCCTGCTAACACCACGATTGAGAGTGGCAAACCACGACAACTTTGAACTATCTGTTTCCCCAAAGGCTCCAAATCAGAAGAGTACTCTTCGCCCCTAAACACTTTCTTGCAGAAGAGCTCCCAACTTTCATCTTCACTAAGAAACTGAAGATAGTAAGGAGGATGATGGCTAGTATGCAACGCCACCTCTTTCAAACGACTAGTAATCAATATCCTGCTGCCTTTGTTGTCGTCAGGAAAAGCATCGTGCAACTCGTCCCAATCTTGTGTTTTCCACAGGTCATCGAGGACCACCAGATACCTTTTCCTCTCCAAGCATTCTCTCACCAGTTTTTTCAACTCCTCCTCGCTCAACTTAGAAATGTTAAATTCTCTTGTGCGTTTCTTAACTGAATCAACTTTTTTTTTTTTTTTTTTAACAATGTTACACACGGCTTCAGCTAAAGAGAAGGGAATTTGAGAGTGAAAATTCAAAGTGAAAGGATAAGGGAAAGTATAAGGTGAGTGATGAGAGAGAGAAAAGAGAGAAGATTGACACGGAGTCTCACAGTGTAAATAGTACACATATATACACATTCAAATATTAAAAAGTTTATATTTTAATAAAATAAAAATAATATCATAATATTTTCAATTAGTTTTTTAAATCTATTTAAATATTATAATAATATTTTTTTAATTATAAATGTTATTAAATATTTTTATTAACATTATAATACTTTTACGATATTATTTTATTTTTATTAAGAGATAAATATTTTATATTCTGGATAAGTTAAATTTTAAAATCATTTCAATAATAATTTAAATTTATTTTTAAAACCTTAATTCTCATACATTGTATAATCAGTATTTTGATTTAAATGATTTTATTTTTTAGTTTTTGGACAATTTAAATAAATATTATTTCTTTAAATAAGATTTTAAATTTTATAATGACAAAAAAAATATTATTTATTTTAGTATTTGTGTTATTTTTTTATTTTATATTTTAACATTCTTTAAAATTCTATTTTATAAAATTTTTAAGATGCAATGTGTTTATTAAAAGAAAAGCAAAATAATAAAGTTAAAGGGTGATAGGGCAAAATAGGATGAGACGAGATGGGAGGGATTGTCCGGACAAGACATGGAACATTTTGTCACTCTTAATTTTAATAACTTATTATTAATTTATAGAAAATATTCAAAATATTGTTTATAAAAATATAAATATAATAAATTTTTATTTACAGTAAAGTTGTAAAATAATTAAATACATCTATCATTTCACATTTTAAAGAATAAATATTTAAATTTAAGATAAGTTACTTTTTAAAAAATTTAAAATAAAATTTTCATGCTGTTAAAAAAATCTCACATTTTTATTAACATTTATAAATGAGATGAGTTTAATTTTTGAACTCACTTTCTTAAGAGAAACGGGATGGAACGAAATAAGATAGAACGAAGGAAGACGTGACAAAGAAGTGACATGGTGTGCCACTTTGTCACTCTCACTTTTAATAATTTTTTATTAATTCAAATAAAATATTTAAAATATTATTTATAAAATTATAATTAAATATTATAAATGTAAATTTTTTATTTATAATATAGTAAAATAATTAAATACATTTATTATTTTTTATTTTAAAATTATAAATATTTAAATTTAATATAAGTTAAATTGTTTTTAAATTCAAAATAAAATTTTCATGCTATAAACTTTTTTTACATTTTTTATAAATACTTTACTAATAGGGTAAGTTGAATTTTTGAATTCATTTGACTAAATGGAACTAGATGAAGCGAAACAAGATGAGATGAGACCAGACAAACTAACAAAGTTGGACATGAAACATTCTATCACTCTCATTTGCAATAAATCTTTATTAATTTATAGGAGATACTAAAAATATTATTTATAAAATTATAACTATTATAAATATTTATTTACGATATAGTTGTAAAATAATTACGTTTATCATTTTATATCTTAAAATTACAAAATATCTAAATCTAAGACAAGTTAAATTCTTTTAAAGTTTTAAAATATTTTTTCCACATTATAAAAAATTCTTATATTTTATAAATATTCTAAGTAAAATTAAAAATATATATAAGACTACATTTAACTTAAAAAAATTATTTTTTTATATTTAAAAGAAGCTCAAATAATTAATTATATTGTTTTAATATAAAAATAAAATTTTAAAATCAAATATTTTTTTTTAATCATACGCGAAAATAAGAGTAACATGAAATGCATGGGTATCTTTCTTGTTGAAGATCATGGAATTTAAGAAAGGCGTGATTAAGTTTCCCATCATTATGTGCTGAAAATCTCAATAAGTGGAGATAAGATATACCAGGTTTTTGACTGGTCTTTTATTTTGATAGTTGGAAAAATAAGAGAAAAATAAATGGAACGGGTGGGAACCTAAGAGTTGATAAATGATACTTTCCTTGTTTGTTTATCTTTACTATCTATTAATGCTTAGAATATGTGAAATGATATGTATCATTTAAAAAAGGTAGATACATATTCATCACTATCATATAAGAAGTTATTAATATATTAAGGATTTTCAGATCAAGTATTAATATTTATTTAATGGTTTTTACTATCTATTAATGCTTAGAAGATGTGAAATGATAACTTACATGATACTTTTCTTGTTTGTTTATCTTTATTAATGGTTTCTACTATCTATTAATGCTTAGAAGATGTGAAATAATATGTATCATTTAAAAAATGGTAGATACATAATAACATTCATCACTATCATATAAGAAGTTATTAACATATTAAGGATTTTCATATCAAGTATTAATATTTATTTAATAATTAGTCAAAATTTATTAATGTCTAATTTGATCAAAAAATTTATTTGTAAAACTAAAATTAACAGAAATTTGTTATAGAAATTTCACCTCTAACATTAAGAAATCTTTTTAAATAAGTATTTTTATCAAAATAAAATTTTATAATTATAAAAAATATCAAACTTATATCATAAATAATGTAAATTTAAACCATATTTTTTTTTATCATTTAGCTATTAGTATTATATGTGTGAAAGAGGTGCATTCAAATTAATAAGTAATAACATCTCATGGGTGCTGCTTCCATTTGAATAAAAGGATCAATAATAATATCTCACGTTTTATTTTATTTTGAATTGAGAGTATTTAATTTATATCATCTTGATCAAAATTCCAGCTTTTAGTCTTATTGTTTATAAGTAGAGTTAGGAACTTATTGACTTTTTTTAAAAACAATCATTATAATTTTCTTTTAAATTAATTCAAAAGGAGTCTAAGTCCAAATAAAAATAAATAAATACAGAGCTAGAGTGCAAATAATATGAACTCCCAACATATCAAATGGGATTGTGATACAACTTCAAACAATGTTATTAGGTTATTTTTTTTGGTAGATATTTTATACAACATTTTTTTATTGTTTTTTCTATCATTATCCGTTAGTATATGGAGTACATACTCATTTATTAGCATAACACATTTATTTAAAAATATTATAGATAAATTCTTACAATTTATTAATAATTCTTTTTAATTTTATCTTTATTTTTATTCATTCAAATATTGTTTTTATTTTATTTTTAATCTATACAAAAATAAAATATAATTTTTCACAATTAAAATTTTTAAATATATTTTTTATTTTTTAAAATATTAATCAATCCTTATATATTAATTTACATATAATCATGAACAACTATCTTACACATTAATGCTTTTAAAAATTTTCCTTCGAAGAAATATTTTTAGGAATTATTTTAACTTCATATTAAATTCAGCTTTTATTTATAATTATTATTTTTGAAATAAATTTTAATACTTTTAAAATGGATTATTAGTAAATAATTTTTTTTTTGCTAAAATTTAAGTTATTTAACATAAATTTAAAATATAATGTATATATTAAAAAATCTATTTATTCAAATTTTTAATATAATTTATATATTCAAACATAATATTTATTTATATACATAATTTATATAATACTGTATTTTATTAATTATTATTGATTTTGTTAAATTATATCTTACAATAGTCTTGGGGTTAAATGTTGAGAAACTCTAAAATTGAATAATTCTTGTGAATTTTAGGTATTTTTGAGAGTTTCTTTGGATAGAGATTTGACTCAGAGAGAAGGATATACAAGGTTTCTTTTAAGACTTCTTATTTTTTAAAAATTTAGAGTATTAATTAAATATTAGTTAAAAAAATAGACAAAATAATAAATTTAATATATATATATATATATATATATTTTTTTTGATTGCATACAAAAATAAATTTTATATTTTAATTAAAAAAACTCTTAATAAGATAAAAGATCTGCAGCAAATTACACATGTTAGAATTAAGGGTAATGTGCTCCGAAAAAAAAAAAAGTAATGTGATGATTTAACTTTCACTTAATTAATTAAGTCAATTTATTACAACCAATTAATTTAGTTAGTGTTAAACACTATATTTAAATATATAATTTATATTTAAAATTTATATAAATAAATATTTTAAACATATATATTATATTTCAGATTTTTATCATAAATATTTATATTGTAGTATAAAATTATTTTTAATTATTGATAATTTATTTTAAAAATATTATAATTTAATTTATAATTAATAAAACAAATAAAAATCATAGTTGAACGAATTCCTATAAATTCTCTTTTCAAATAGAAATCTCCAAGAATGTTCTTGACTCTTGTTAAAAAAAAAGGTCTTAAACAAATATTGTTCAAAATAACAGTTTGTATTTAATATTTGTATTCAAATAATAATATAAAAAAACCCTATCTCATTTCTCTTATTTATTTATATCCAAAGATTGAGTCCGTTCGTTTTAACTTTAAAAAGAATGTTTCCATTTTTTTTTTATAAAAAAAAGTTGATAGAAGTTGTTTGTTTTTAAAAGTATAAAAATTTTCATTTAAAAATAAATTAGATAAACACATAAAAAAATAGAAAAATGTTTATTTTATTAAGAAAATGTTTATTTTAGAAAAAAAAAGTTTAAGTAAACAGCTCTGATACTTCTTTTCCATTTTATTTTTCTTCTACAATTCTATTTTACTATTTATTTATTTATTTATTTATTATTTTCTCTTTAGTCTGATATTCATAAAAAAGAGCATTAGCAAAATTCTTTTCAACACATTCTTTCTAAGACTTTTTTTTTTATCGACTGAATTATTATTATTTTTATATAAAATTGATTAAAATTGATTAAAATTATAAATTTTGCAAAATAAGTCTTTCTCAATTTATTAGTAAGAACTCCTAACATTTATAACATTTATAACTTTGGACAATTGGAGGTTAGTAGCGTGTTGCTGGTATTTTAAAATATAAAGAATAAATTACATTCTTCTCTTCTAAGAAATATTAATATTATGTTTATTTTTTATTTTTAAGTTAAAAATTACGGTTCTCTTTTAATAAATTTTAATATATAACATTTTATCTATTTTTTAAAATTTTATTAACTTTTGTTAAAAAAAATTACTACCTAAATTTCTTTTACAATAACATTCCATCAGAAATATAAAATTTATTCTATAGTTTTTTTTAATAAATTAATTTAAATCTAATTATGTATTTTATAATTTTTCATCAAGTCAATAAATGATAATCAACTAAAATATTTTTAAAATATACTTTAATTAAAATATATTTTTTGATGAATTAAATTAAAAATATATTTAAAATCTTATGAAGATTATTCTTTAGTGATATTATGTTCAATATGCTAAATTAATATAATTATTATGTTCAATTTGTTAAATTAATATAATTAAAGATCAATAATATAATTTATATGTAATATTTTAATATATAAATAATAAATAGTATAATATTTAAATCTAAAGAAAAAAAGTATAATTTACATTAATATTAATATATTAAATTAATTAAATTATATATTTTAACATTAAAATTAAAAATGAGTAATGTAACACTCTCATTCACAGTAAAAATTAAACCTAATTCCTCGTGTTTCTAAACGGCTAATAGAATAATATAACATTAGTTTGTCTATATATAAAAGGTTGAGATGAGTTGCATAATAGGGTTTGAGGAAGAAGGAGAGGGAAGATGGCATTGGAGCAGTACGGGAAGGAGAAAGAGAAACTGAAAAAGGGTATCGCCGAGTTTTACGACGACTCGTCTCGGATGTGGGAGGACATTTGGGGCGACCACATGCACCACGGCTTCTACGACCTCCATTCCACCGTTTCTGTTTCGGATCATCGCGCTGCTCAGATCCGAATGATCCAAGAATCTCTTCATTTTGCCAATGTTTCTGGTATTTCTCTTTTTTACCAACTCCTATGCTACCACTCTCTTTGCAATTTTTTTTAAATTATAAACAGTTTTATTTTGTAATCGAGTAAACACTAACAAGAACATTGAAATTCTACTAGACACGAGAACAATATGCAGATCCAAAGTTCAATTTAATATTTCATTTAAAATTGAATCACTATTTTACAGAGAGTATGGTATGTATTAATGTATAGCTAGTTCCAATTCCAAAGTGCTTAAAATAGTACTCTCTGTATATATAAACAAAAAATGTTTTATAATTTTGATTTAAATATAAACGAATTTTAATAAAGTTAACCTTATTTAATAATTTTAATTTAAAAATATTTCTATAATAATAAATGAGAATATCATCTATTATAAATATGATTAAAAATATTTCAAAAATATAATATGTATTTTATATAAAATTGTAAAAATTAAATTTATTTGATGAATTGTCTTAATTTATATAAAATTAGTTATTTTTATTTTTATATATATAAATTTAGAGAGAATAAACAGTAGTTACTACTAATTTGTTTGTGAATGGTCAGAGGATAGTACTAAATGGCCCAAGAGCATAGTTGATGTTGGGTGTGGCATAGGGGGAAGTTCTAGATACCTGGCCAAGAAATATGGAGCAACGGCTGTAGGCATTACTCTGAGTCCAGTTCAAGTTCAAAGAGCAAATGCTCTCGCTGCTGCTCAAGGATTGGCTCACAAGGTCTTCATTTCTTGACATGTTTGTTTTTTTTAATCTATTTTACACGTTTCCCAAGGTTCATAGTTACTTCAATAGAATCTATGCGCATGTAGCTTTAATAATATCGATTATAATATTTGCATTCCTTAATTTATGTTTTTGTTTCTGTGATTGCAGGTTTCCTTTCAGGTTGCTGACGCTTTAGAGCAACCATTTCCAGACGGGCAATTTGATCTTGTGTGGTCCATGGAGAGTGGAGAGCATATGCCTGATAAAGAAAAGGTTTCAATAATTTAACTAATTATTGTTGCAGTATAATGATTTGCCATTTTGTGATTAAATTTATCACCTCCATTTTTTTTAAGTCGTTTTGGTATTATTATTTTTTAAATTAATTAACTTATTAATTTTCTGTTTTATTTATCTTTAATAATTAATATATATTTATTGAATAACGTGTTTATTCATTTTTTAATATACCTATTTCTTCTCTAACCATTTAAAAGATATTAAAAAAAAATAGATAATAAATATTTTAAAAAATTAAAATATTAATTATTTTTTTAATTATGGTACATAACCTTAAGCGTCACGGAAAAAAAAAAAATAAACAGAAGGAGTATTAGTTAACTCCAGATTAACTATTATTTATTGCCTTTGTTTCATGGATTGATGACAGTTTGTTGGAGAGTTAGCTCGGGTAGCAGCACCAGGTGGAACGATAATAATAGTAACATGGTGCCACAGGGATCTTGGTCCTGGTGAAGAATCCCTACAACCATGGGAGCAAAATCTGTTGAAGAGGATATGCGATGCTTATTACCTACCAGCTTGGTGCTCTACTGCTGATTATGTGAGAATGCTCCAATCCCTCTCACTTCAGGTACTCATTAATGCCTAATTATTAATTAAAGGGCTGTCTCATTACTCGTAAATATTACTAATAACATGTAGAGATATTGTTCAAGTTGTGTTAGTTTGTTACTAGCTAGTACTTTAACATGCATGCTTGCAAATTGCTACGCTATTGCTATGTAGGACATTAAGTCAGCAGATTGGTCTCCCTTCGTCGCTCCATTTTGGCCCGCAGTCATACGCTCAGCCTTGACATGGAAGGGTCTCACTTCACTCTTGCGCAACGGTAAGTAACCTCGATCAACTTTCAAATTGCATTTAAAAGTGAAAATGAAAGTAGATTCAGAAAAAAAGTTACCCTATTTTTTTTTCTTTCCATTTTCACGCACTATATATATCAACTAATATTTTAGTCTCTGGAATGTATATATAGACATGTATATTATATATAATTAAAATTTATGATATATAAATAACAAATTAAAGAATGTAGAATTATATATATTATAAATAACTATTATCCCCTCCAACTTCAGCTATTTCACTGAACGAATTGGTGTTTATATTATACAAAATACTTTTTTGTTATATATCTGCTACTGTAGGCGGATTTCGGATTTCCTTTCAGAGTTTCTTCCATGGCTTTTGGCTGGAGAATTTTGTTGAACTGAATCGTGTGTTTTATTTTGATAATTTTTTGGTTCAGGACTAAAACCCATAAAAGGAGCTTTAGCTATGCCGTTGATGATAGAAGGATACAAGAAGAATCTGATTAAGTTTGCCATCATTACGTGTCGAAAGCCTGAATAAGCATAGCCAATGCAAGATGTTATTTTCACATATGAAGTAGGTTAACGGGTCATTTATTTTGATAGTTGTGCAAGATGTTATTTTCACATATGAAGTAGGTTAACGGGTCATTTATTTCGATAGTTGAAATGTAAGAGAGAAAAAAAATAAAAAAAAAGATGTTGGGACTTGGAGTTGATGCAATTTATGTAGTGACTTATGTTTATTCCAAAAATAATTTATAATAAATTTATTGTAATCGGTTTCTCATTATTTATATTGAATAGTTTTCACATTTCATAAAAAATTATAAACTTGGTCTATTTTATAAGTTTTTTTAATTTAATAATTGAATTATTGAAATTTAATTTGTCAATTATTAATAATTAAGTTATATAACTGTAGAGTTAAACATATTACTGTCAGGCTTTGACTAAATGATGTAAGGTTTTTTTTTTTTTTTTTTATAAATAAAGTGAAAAGAAATAAAAAAGAGAAGAGATAATGAGTAAGAAATAATTTGTTTTAAGTTGTTTGGTTTGAATTAAGATAAATAATGAGCAGGTGTGCATTATAAAGTCATATTTATCTTGAATAATATGTTTATATAACTCAAAATAAAAGATAAACATGTCATTTAAATATTTGTTGAGTTTACAGTTTTTTTTTTCTTCTTTCTCCCACAAATCTAGAGGAAAATTTTTTAAAAAACATTCTACGAAAGTTAATAAGACTTTTGTAAATGTTTTTCAAGGGCTAAATAGAGCTGAAAAAAATATAAACTTTATCATAACAAAATCACTTGTATCGTATCTAACAAGTGAAGTGTTTTACATTTTCTTTTATCAATAGGAAATAAAAAGAATAAACAAATTATCATCGTAAATAAGCTATACCGTAAAAGAGTAGCTGATTAAGATTGAAAATAGGACCAGTCCTGACATTATAAGAATTCTAGGTGAAGTGATAAATGTGAATTTTTATTAGAGAAGTTGATCTGTTATATGTTATCTATGAAGATTTATTTGAACTTAACACAAATATGTTCCCGTTAAGTTTTATGAAACTATTTTTGTAAATAATTATTAAAACAAATTTTATTTTAAGCCAATGGGCGTGTAGCCCAGTGAACTTGGACCGCCTCGCTCCCCAATTTCCCAGTTGGGTCTCGTAATCATATATGACGGCCCAATATCAATACAATATTTTTTTTTATATGCATTATTTTGGGGCTGATTGTCTACAACTACGTCCGGGTTAAAAAATGCTACTATCATATTTCTGGGTGATTGTTTACATCTCTATATCATAAAAAATGCATTATTTTCGGGCTGATTAACTTGCATTCTCTTAGTATATCAATATTCTTTGTCATGAATTGCATGACTACTATTAATTGAATTCTTATGAACTAGAGGGTCCTAAAAATATTCATGATTCAGTATCAGAAGCTTTTTAATACATAGATCCCTCATAAGACAAGTGTAAAACATACTTGTTTCCTTGGAGTGATAATAAAATAACATTATAGTAGGTTTTCAGACAGAAAGGAAATTAGTTTTAGATAAAACTTATCTATTAGCATCCTTTGTCTTTATTTACAAAGTGATCACAAGACAATAATTTCTCTCAATATTTATAGACGAGGGAAAAATATTACACACTTTTTATAACTTAAATAATCATGTACTTTAAGATTATAGAATAAGAATATTAAAAGTGTGTTTGGATAAATAATTTAAATTGAGTAATTTATTTTTAAAAAAAATAAATAAATATCTTGAGGTAAATATTTTGTTTAGATAAAATTTAAGTATTTGTAAAATTCCTTAAGATAATAGAATTTCAAATTCTCTAAAAAAAATGGTAAGAATTTGAAAAAAAAATTTATCTCACTTTTATATATATATATATATATT